AGTTTTAATGAGTAATTTTGTAATTATATTAAATATTAAATGTTTTCTATAAAAATTAAATTAAAATTTCAAAATAAAACCTTTAATTTTATATGTAAAATTATTATAAATCTATTATAATTTCTTATAACTTAAAAAAATAATTTAGTAGAGGGACCAAAAAAAGTATTTAACCTATTAAATATTAAATATTTTCTATAAAAATTACAATTAAAATTTCAAAATAAAACCTTTAATTTTATATGTAAAATTATTATAAATCTATTATAATTTCTTATAACTTAAAAAAATAATTTAAAAAAAATTACCCGGCACATATATATATCTAAATATACTATAAAGGAAAAAGTGCCTGTTAACCTTACTTCTTAAATATTATGAGAAAAATCATCTTAAAACTACGTCGTTTCAATAAATTTTTAATAAAAAAATTAAGTTACCTTATTTTTAAAACATATATTAAAATATTTTTTTTTAATTTTTTTTGAAAGTAAAACAGACGATCACTCACCTCCACTATAAAACTACACAAAATAAAACACCACCGTTATCCCAAACGCACCCGTAATAACTCACAGAAACATTGGCTTTCGCTGCGTGATTTCCATGTGCCCGTATAAATGCGGGACGGAGCGAGGGTTAAATTAATTATAAAAAAATAATTAAAAAAAAAAGAATTATGTGTAAAAAAATAAATAAATAAGAGAAGAGAGAGAGAAACGCCGCTTTTCTGTTCTCCATTCTTGAGCACATATCTAAAGCGCAGACTCAGAGCTCTGACTGAACTACTGCTGCTGTATATTATTATATATATATACATACTCCCATTTACCATTTTATGTCTGCATATATAGACCCTTCTGAGGAAAATCGATCTCTGTGTAACGGCTACTTTTGCTGTTTACTGAAGGGTGAGGGAAAAGGGCTGTGATTTGTGAAAGGGTCTGTTCTATTTGCAGAGGCAGGAATGGATCGTAACAATGGCAGGTAAACCTCGTTTTCCCACTATATCTTTCTGTTTGTGTCTGGGTTTGCTGGGGTTGGGTTTAGAATGCATGTTCTGTGAATTTTTTTTTTCTTTATTAATCTCTTGGTGAAAACTTAGATTGTTTACTTATACTGATTTTATTATATTTTTGAAGAATAAATGCTGGTTTTTCTGAGATGGGTTTGGTTAATTTTAGTCTTTAGCTGTTTTATGGATGAGTTTTATTTATTTATTTTTTTTTTCATTTTAGAAATTGAATATGAATATTGTTTTGTGGGTAAATTAAATGATGCATTCTTTCTGCCCTTTAGTGGGGATTGTTGGGTGTGTGCTGAACTGTGAAGGTAAAATGGAATTAGATTGTGGGCTCTGAGCATAATGGTGATTGGTGGGTCATTGTGCTTGTTTTTGCCTTTTGCTTTTTATTGGCTTAAAGAACAAGGTCTAGAAGATATATTGTGATCCCCTTTTCTTTGTTGTTATGTCTGCATAGATCCAAATGGTATTTAGTGTACTTTCACTACTGCACGGTGATATTTGCTCTCATCACTGTAATTGGATCAAATGCTTCTTTTTTTGCTTGTGAGGTGTTATTCACTGTTTTACTTTTTTTTTTATCTATGAAGTGATCTCAATTATGTTATTAGCTTCATTGTTGATCTGTTTCTCATTATCCCATATAGATTTTAACTGATCTAATGTGAAATGTAGCGTTGGTTCCACATTTAGGTATAATGGTATGATTCCTTGTGAATTTCATGCACGTTTGACGTGTAGGTTGAATCTTTCTGAGGTTTTTTTATTCAACTTTTGAAAATATGCATGCATTATGAATGTTATGTGTTTTTAGCCTTACATTTTTTACCATGTGAATGGTAGCAGGGAACCTTGGAGTTGGCATGGGGAGAATTATTGTCTCCAGAAGGACACCAATCATGGTAAGTTCTTACCTTAGTTCATGAAAGAAGTGAGTGTTTCATCTCTATTGGAAAATTGTTACAAAAACAAAACTAGTGATGTGTGGATAATGCTTGAACAGAAATGTCTGATGGCCTAGTCAATGAAGTGACCTTGAATGAGGAAGACCTTTCCTACATGTTTGACGAAACAACCCCAGTTAAGGCTTGTGGAGATTTGGCATACCATGTTCCTCATGGTGGTAGGTGTTGCACCTACATGTTCTGACATTTTGTTGTTCTTGTAGCTGGAGCAAATTTCTGGATATCTCCTCTTTAGACATTGAAAAATAACATTATAGTGAACTTCAGGTAGTATAAGCAAGCAATCAGAGGAACAAAGGGAGACTTATTCTCAAGTTAAAAGGCGTAGAATGCTACAGTTTGATAATGATGTAGTAGATTCCCCCTTTGGCAATGGAGAGATGTCATCTACATTCCTAAAATCAAATGTAAGTGCTGGATTATATTTTCCTTCTGGTAACCAAAAGGAGCTTTTTCTCAATGCTGCAAGTGGACTTTTGGTTGAAGTTTGAACATTAACATGAATTTATATGTAAGACATGGAACCTGCTTTAGGCAATAGGTATCTTAATCATTTGCCACTCTACATCATATTATTGGCATGAAGTTGGTGGTTATTTGTTTGAAGATGGTGTTTTGTTTATAATTGGAGGTTAATAATCTTTTCAAACTAGCTTAACTCTGATAGTGAGCCAGTAATCATTTTGGCATTTCTTCATTTAGCTGGCAATTATGGTGACTGTTCAAAAATGAACATGTTCCAACTGTATTTAGTTGCGTATGAGATGGATTCAGATTTTAGAATGTACCCAGAAATTGCATTATAGTGATTATAGTTTATTTACATTTCATTCGTTCCATGCTTAGGAAACGGTGGACTCACTTGAAGATGTCGAACAGTGGGTTGCTGGGTTTTCAGGTTTTTTGCTTGCAAGATCCATTTCCTTACCATTTCAAGTTAAATGTATGCCTAGGATTTACTAACAACAGAATATTTCAGAACCTGCATCTGGTTGTGAGGGCCTAGATCAGTCATCTGAATGGTGGCTTGCTGATTGTTTTAATGATCTAGAGATGCAAGTTAGCCCTGATGATACGTATGCTTCCATGCACTTTTATTATTTTCATTTGATCACAATTCCAATATGATCTGATTGGTTTAAATGTGATATTCAGGAATTTTACTGGGCCATCTGACATTCAATTGGATGTCACAGGTACAATAAATAAAATCTTGTCTGTTAATTAATCATTTCCCACGTGGTTAGATATCTTCTTTCACCTTGCCACTTAATATTTTGTTATAACTTTCTTTAATTATGTTTAAGTCATTGAGTGTATTAAACTTTTCTCTTTGCTATAGAGTTCTGCAATGCCCCACCTGAGATGGAGGCTAATGTGCTTCAACAAAATATTACCCGAACTCCTGGAAACATTGTTTTTAAAGGTAACTCATCCTTCTCACTTTCTCTCTCTTTTGGTTTGTCTTTGTTTAACTAAATACCTGCAGCCACTCCTTTCTATATGTGTTAATCTTATGATAATCTGGGAACTTAATTTCTTTATCTATAGAATCACCAAGAACCACCCTTCTGCCACTCCTGGTATAAAACCATTTTTGGTTTTAAAACTAAACAGATGTTAATTTTATTTTTCTAGAATATGCTTTCTAGTCATCCTTCTATATATTTTCTAGTCTAAGCTTTAGACAAGATTGTTCTATTCATAATTCAAGACTACCAATTGAACCTAACTATTGATATACTATTTTGCTTATTCAGGTAGGAAATCTTACATACGGCCCCCCACTAAGTTTGCGTCTTCTGTGGCCTATCCATTTGCCTTCATTAAACCATGCAGTTTCCATGGAGATGTGACTCTGAAGGATATCAACCAGAGGATTCAAACTCCACCACCATCAAAATCAAAGCAAAACAAAGAAGAACCTGCTGTTGTTTATCCTACTTCAGCTTTCTCAGGGAAGCCTGTTGTTGGCAAAACTAAAATTCGCACTGAGGGAGGAAAAGGCAGCATCACAATTATGAGAACCAAAGGGTAAGTAGATAAGTGCTCTTCAAATCTCCTTTCTGTGGCCTGTTGATCTCACCCCACCATACATGATGGTTGAGTATCTCTGTATTATTTCTAGGCCAACTAGTACAGAATTTGATGCTACAAATTTTTCCCAGGACATCTTGGAATTCATAAATCACATCAAAGTGTTTATGTTTCCAATTAGGGTTTCTATGTTGTCAAATAGCTCTTGATTTGTACATGGTGGATTTGTTGGACTCATAAAATGCAAAATCAAAATGTCTGAGATCACACCTCTTCTTCAAAAAATCCTGTTGCTGCTTTCAACCAGCGCGTAGATTTTTTATTCACACACATTTGCAAAAGTAGTTAAATCTACAGTCATGACTCATGCGTAGCTACTGCAGGAATTTGAAATCCTTCAATTAAGAATTTGGCATTGGAATTAATGCTTTAAAATTAATTAGTGCTAACTTGATTAAGCTCTTGTTAGTTAAATGAAATAATATAATCTTAGAGCATGTTTAGTGAAACTTGTAAGTGTTTCAGCTTTTTGACATTGTTCTTATTTCATAAGTTTAAATTTTTTTTAAAAAAATTTATATTTTTAATTTTTTTTAACCTTAAAAGGATTTTTAAACAGTAAATTTAAAAAATTTTTCATATATAAATTTTTTATAATTTTTTTTTTACTTATTTTT